TTTTTGCAAAAATTAGATCATTTAGAACACAATATTAAAAAACTACAGAAAAAATTTTTTTGGCCCATCACCACCTTGCCCCCATATACTGTATATATATATATATATATAGTTGTTAAAAAAAATCAAACCAGTAAACTATGGCAGCGGCTTCAAAAGAAGCTCAACAACAACCATTATCACCAATTGGTAATGCTGTCGCAGGAGCTTTAGGAGCTTTATTCGCGTTGTCCATAACTTATCCGCTGGACATGTGGGTATTCCTTATTATGTCGCGGAGGGTATAACCAAATGCTTCTAAACTAAAAAATACTCGTTTTTTTGTGTTCTTTTGAAGACATTTATTAATTATTATATCATTGCTGATCAAACAGTATAAAAACTCGACTTCAAGTACAATCAAAAAGTACACATACTACTGAATACTACGAGTCAACAATAGATGCGATTGTTAAAATATTGAAAACCGAAGGAATACTTGGTCTTTATACGGGATTGCCTTCCGGTCTTATCGGAGTAGCCTCAACAAACTTTGCATACTTTTATTGGTACTCTTTCATTCGTACTCGCTATCAACAAGCACGTTCTACGTTGTCTTTATCTACTGCTGAAGAGCTCACACTTGGTGCCCTTGCAGGTGCACTTGCTCAAATTTTTACAATTCCTGTGTCTGTTGTAACTACACGACAACAAACTTCGACCATCACTGAACGTAAAAGCCTTACGAATACTGTAAAAGAAATTGTTTCTGAAGATGGAATCATTGGATTATGGAAAGGATTGGGTCCATCATTGGTATTATGTGTCAACCCTGCTATAACCTATGGTGCTTTTGAGAGATTCAAAGATATAATGCTAAAGAAAAACTTTAACCTTACACCTGGTCTAATCTTTTGGTTGGGTGCCCTCAGTAAAACTATTGCTACTGTGGTTACTTACCCGTACATTATGGTAAAAGTAAGGTTACAATGGAAACCGCCAAAAGAACAGACAGAGAACGAAAAAGATAACCAAATTCTTGATGATTATGATGATGATGATGATGATGATGATCAAATCAGAAGAACTGGTACTAGAACGTTTAATAGTTCGAGGAAACCTTACAATAATAAAAATAAAACTGCAATTGGTGTACTTATAAACATTCTAAAATCTGATGGGTTCCTGGGATGGTACACGGTAAAAAAAAAAAAATATGCATTTTCTTTTTTTTTTTTTATTGTCTATTTTTTTATTTATTAAATTTTTTAATTAACAGGGAATGCAAGCTCAGATTTTAAAAGCTGTGCTTTCTCAAGCGATACTTTTCTATGCTAAAGAATATACTACTAGATATACTATTCTTCTATTCGCACTGATTAGCCGTTTGAGAAGTAATCGCAAACTCATAGTTAAGTCTACATAAAAGGAAAAATTTAATTATAATAATGAATTATAAAATGATTATAAATATGTTAATTAACCACATGACCATTTGTGATATATTTTTTGGTAATAATTGTTATGAGACGAAAATATCGGCCATGATTCTAAATTAGAATTAAACTATTACATGTAACAATAAATTATTAAAAATTGAAAATTAAAGTTTAATTGTAGGTAAAATTTTAATAAGAATGCATTATAGAGTCGATATCGGAATTAATATTTACATATATACATTGGATTTAATAATTTTTTCTACATTTCGTTCAACTTCGAGAATGAAATAATATTGCAAATCCATAATTATTTAAGATTTCATATTTCATCCTTTTTGAACATTGATTTGCGGTGTGGTGGTAATTCACCTTTGTTTAACCACACCAAACCGCACGCATTACAAAGTGACTTTACAAATAAAAAAAAAAAAGTGATCGACAAAATTAATAAATATAACTAGAGTTTATGAAAGAAGGTTAATTACAAAAACACAAACCTTGCCCCCATCTGGGCCTTTTCTTACTAAAGGTGTGGTGTGGCCATCAATGCCGCAATGCATACACCTCCAAACTTCCAATTCATCCAACGTTAATTTTGTGTCGTTTCGAGCTCGTTGATTTATATAAATCGACGAATGGTCAATTCCATTGATTACCGTTGAACGCGATGACTTTGACCTTGCAATATTACGCGTGGTAGCTCTTCGCATGCGTCTAATATCATCCAAGAATAATAAAATTACAGTTGCACATAATATGTGAATGCTTTTCTATAAAACTATTGTTCAAAAACATACCTTATATCCCTTTCTTGGTCCAACCTAATCTTTTCCAACTCTTCATTTGTTAATAAATTCAATACAGGACTCCATTCATCTGCATCTTCATATGCACGAAAAACAGACTTTAATGGTGCGCTCTCATTATCTGAATCATCTGACTTTATATCTTTTTTATATTTTAATATTTGTTCGTGAATACTATGCGAGATCATCGTAACAAATTCACCACCGATTCCAAGATCTGCCGCAAGAATTTTACTAAATTCCTCTGGGGTCAGATCCGAACTCAAATCCCATTCGAACCGATCGCGAAGATTAAGTCTTCCAACATGGATATCAAGCTAAATATTGAAACATATTATTTAATCATTTAATAAATATGTCATCCATTTCAAATAGATAAAAATAACTCACGTTAATTGTAACCCTAGTATCTTCCGTCGAGACGTTACTTTCTGCTACTGGCTCATGTTCTTGAATTTGTTTACGTATAGAGTCGGCAATAAGAGGAACGAATTCATTGATCGGAAGATCAAGGTCGTGGCACATTATTTCAGCAAAGTGCTCGGGAATTATTAATTTTTCTAAAAGAGATATGATTAATTTTTGGTTATAGGTTAAGGATGAATTATAGATATAATATGACTTTACCGTTAAGATTCCATGTAAAGGTATCACGCAATTTATGCGTGTCCAAATCAATATCCAGTCTGATAGGGATTAAAATCTCTCTTTGTTCAGCATTGCGATCTAATTCTTTCTGAGAACTAAAGAAAGTTCGTGAAGATAATTAGCAGTTATTTATGCATAAAACAAAGTATAAGACTTACTTGTATATATGTCTGGTCCTATTTCTTTTTCGCCTTACTACTGGAATTTCCCCATTAACGGTATTAAGCCCAACGGCCAGACGTTTTTCCGCCGGAGGAGTTCCTCTATCATCATCTTCAAATAATTCTCCTATACCATCGGAATCTTCGGTGCTGTGCCCCCCACCACGTTGACGTTTCTTTCCGCCTCTAAGTTGAACAGGAAGCACTAAAGCAGTAGTACCTTGCCTTAAGCGACTAGCATATGTGCTCCAAAATTTGCGCTTTGAAGTCAATTTTGTCGGTCTTGCTACTTCATAAACTGCTGTATCAATGAAATTCAATCGCTATGTGGTGAGAACTGAGTGCTTAAATCAAGGGCCCTTTAGTTTGGTTGCTGTGAATAGAATATACCTTGTCGCGTTGTCCTTCGTGGAGCTATAGGTGTATTAAAAGTTGAATAAGATGATTTGTATACAGAAGTTGTATCGTTTTGTTGAGGCGTTGCATAAGACGCCGCGTAATGAGGAGGCGCGACTTGTGGCCGAAGCATAGCTAAAGATTGATTGTAATAATATGGGCTAGCACCCATGTGCTGGTGCATATAGGGCGGTACCTGGTGCTGCTGTGAATACGCAAAGGCTTGTGATTGCTGATGGTTGTTAACGGAAGATTGAGGGATATAAGGACTGTAATTCGTTGAATTACTCATTGTATAGAAGAAACTTAGAAACGGCTGACAATAATTTGATAAACTGGAGAAATGAAATGTTGGACCGCAGATTATTCTAATTAGTAGGCGGACTTGTGATCTGCGCCGATCTACAATAATTCCGGCCATTCATTTGTAAATTTCGTCTATATATATTTCTTTTTTTCAAACTCGCCATATTAACAATTCAAGTACTCTAAATTAGATTTTTAAACTATATGGGGTCTTTGCCTTGAAAATGACCCTACGGTACATGATACCGTAAGGTCATTTTCAAGGCAAAGACCCCATATATCTTATTTTCAAGATAAGTAACTTACAAGTGTATTATTTGGCCTGCGTTTTATTTAATTTTTTACTAAATGCATTTATAATGTTTTATATATTTACAGTATATATTTTTATATACAGTATACACAGGGTTGGCATGGACCGGTCAATAGTCAAGCTTGATCAGACCTAGGGTTTCTCAAACTCAAATCGAATCAAATATTAGGCCAATTTGAATTTGATCAAATCAAATTTGTTTTGATTTAAATTTGATTTGATTTTAAAAACTTGAATTTAAATTTGATTTGTAATAATAGTTTTTCAAATCAAATCAAATATAATTAATTATATTTGAATTTGATTTGATTTGAAATTTTTATATTTGAATTTGATTTGAGTTCAAATATTTGATCAAATCAAATCAAATCAAATTGCAAAACTCTAGATTTATAGTATTATGCTTCAATTATAAAATCTATATTTACTTTAATTTGATTTTAAACTTTATATTAATTATTACAAAGTTTAAAATAAAATCAGATTCCTATTAGATTTATATATATACTAAAAATAAATTTTGTATTTAATATATAATATTGTCAATGATTCCTTGGTCCATCTTTTCACAACAAAAATTTCGACAAAAACTGTAGAACTATGCTAGAGAAGAAGAACATAAGACTGACAAGAACCATAAACCGGCATCTATTATTTAGAGATAGTTCTCATATGCTACCTGCTAATAGGTTTAGAGCTTATCACTCACTGTGGGGATGGCACTTGTTATTTAGAAGTAGTTCTCATATGCTACTTGCTAACAAGTTCAGAGTTTATCACTTACTGAAAAGA